TGTTTATGCCTACAGGTTGAGATTTGTACTTGCTGGTTGACATACAAATAGACCTTATTCCTATCAGATCAGACTCAGATCAGATCGGATTTATCATGGGAAAGGTAGGCGATCGCCTTTGAACTCCCTTTTGGTTACAATAACGTCTTTTTGGGAATTGCAGCAATTACGTGAAAATATGAATATGCCACACAGAAATAATTGCACATGTGCAGGCGTAAGTTTGTGGTCCGTTCTTCGTCCCACCCAGGGTGATTTCTTCGTACAACACCTGCTGCCCGTTTTCAGGCAACTGCCTTCGATTTCTTACTTATCCCCCGCTGCCACCAGCGTCCTTGGCTGAGCTTGATGCAGACGGCGAGGAAGCAGGAACAATGGCGGCGGTAGCAGGCGCGACGGAGGCCGAATTCGTCACGGTCGTGATGGGATTGCTGGCGTTACCACTAAGAGTCGTGGCGGAAGAGCAGGCGACAGCAGTGGTGGCTGAGGTGGCAGTTGTTATAGCAACGTTGTTAGCACCTGATGAGGAGCTTGTTCTAGACCCTGCGCTTGCGGACGCTCCAATGTCACCAGCTGTTGAAGTTTCTGTTCCCGTGTGATTGCTGGGACGTTCCGTGCCCAAGTTGGCAGAGGATCCGGACTGAGAGACCATCGTGCTACTGCTGGCCGCCGTCGTAATTGTAGCTGAATTCGGTAAAGACAACTGACGTAAAGATTGACTCAGAGAGCGTTTGGTGGCAAAGTCGGATGATAGGAGATTGTATATGTATGTATGTATGTATGTATGTATGTATGTATGTATGTATGTATGTATGTATGTATGTGGGGTGTAGGGGTGTCCAGCGGTGGGTCCACGTAATGGTCGTAGTGGTCGCTCACCTGCTTGCAGGTGAGACTACACCTAGCGTCCATTTGCTGGCACCCAACTCTCACCTGTGGCTCCACGTAGCTGGGCTCTGCTCAGCGGCCACACCCCGGGCAACCGTCTCGACCGGCGGGCTAAACCAGGTGAGGGTATCCGTGCGTGCACCTGCACGCGCGGTACTGTGGTCTGCGCTGGCCGGATGGATCTTCGCGTCGCCATCGTCGAGACGAGGCTCTGCCTGGACCATCGTAGGCGGCCACCAGGTAAGTTTCCCCTCAGGTAAGTGCGCTTGCTTTGTTCCTTCCTTTGTTTGTTGATGTTCCGCGTCGTACGCTGCGCTTGCTGCCTGCCCTTTATATGCTAGTCTGTCTGTCAATAGCTAAACGACACCCACAATGCCTGCTGCAATTGCCTGTCCGTCAGTCTATGCCACTGTCTTCTAGCTAGGTGTTACGGTGCTTGAGTTTGTGTGGTGCCCTCACTTTGTCTCTGACTGATGACTGTGTCCGCTTGTCCACTCTAGTTCTAAGTCCCCTAGCGTTAGTTAGTGTGTATGCTCTCTCCTACTTCACTCCATCACATCATCACCTCACCACCAAGGTCCCAGGCTAATTCGGGTCGTTCTCTCACTAACAAAAAGTCGTGGCCCATAGTGGAGTCCGGCAGCCGTCTGGGATAACCGGGCAGCCCTGTTCAGGGATGCGTTGCCTGCCCCCGCGAGGGGGAGGGGGCTAGAAAAGGTGCCCTAAAGATCGCTGGGAACCACGCTGTCTGTAGGCTGGCCGTGGCCGCAGACAAAAAACACACGGTCGAAACAGCCAAAACCGAAACAACAACAACAATCACTCTCTTCCTCTTCCAGCCTATTCTTCTTCTTCTCCTACTCCTACTTTTCGCCGCCGCAGTCGCCAGACTGGCAGGGTGAGCCCGCTCACTCTGGCAGCCTGGAATGTTCGTTCCCTTTTAGACAATCCGAGGAGCAACCGACCGGAACGGAGGACGGCGCTAGTGGCACGAGAATTGGCGCGCTACAAGGTGGACATCGCCGCACTCAGCGAGACCCGATTCTCCGAACAAGGCCAACTGGAGGAGGTGGGTGCCGGCTACACCTTCTTCTGGAGTGGTCGACCCAGGGCTGAGTGACGAGACGCGGGCGTCGCCTTCGCCATCCGGACCGACATCGTGGGACGACTGCCCTGTCTGCCGCAGGGAATCAACGACCGCCTGATGAGCCTCCGCCTGCCCCTCCGGCGAGGAGGCAAGTTCGCCACCATCATCAGCGCCTACGCTCCGACGATGACCAACCCCGACGCCGTCAGAGACAAATTCTACGAGGACCTGCACGCCCTCTTGGCGACTGTGTCGAAGGCGGACAAGTTGATTGTCCTTGGCGACTTCAACGCCCGCGTCGGCACAGACCATACTGCTTGGAGGGGAGTGCTGGGTCCTCACGGTCTCCGCGGCTCCAACGACAACGGCCTGCTTCTCCTCCGCACCTGCGCAGAACACCGCCTCATCCTGACGAACACGTTCTTCTGTCTGCCGGAGCGAGAGAAGGCCACCTGGAGGCATCCTCGGTCGCGTCAGTGGCACCTGCTGGACCATGTCCTCATCCGGAGGCGAGATCAGCGGGACGTGCTGGTGACGAAGGCGATCGCGGGTGCTGACGGGTGGACCGACCATCGCCTCGTCATCTCGAAGATGCGTATTCGCCTACAGCCTCGCAGGAGACCCCAAGGTAAGCGACCCCCAGGTAAGCTGAATGTCGCTTTATTGTCTTTGCCTGCTCACCGTCTCCATTTCAGCAATGAGCTAGCTCAACGGCTAGACAACCTTCCTATCGCTGCCGCCGCCGACGACGCCGCCGCCGCTGCTGCCGAGAACGCCTCCGTGGAGAACCGCTGGTGTCAGCTGCGAGACACGGTCCAGTCGACGGCTCTCGCCGTCCTCTGTCGTGCTCCCCGCCAACACCAGGACTGGTTCGACGACAACGACGCTGCCATCCGAAATCTGCTTGCCGAGAAGAACCGCCTACACAAAGCCTACGTAGATCACCTCACTGAGGACAACAAAGCTGCCTTCTACCGCAGTCGCCGACAGCTTCAGCAACGACTGCGCGAGATGCAGGACGCCTGGACTGCTCGCAAAGCTGAGGAGATCCAAGGCTATGCGGACCGCAACGAATGGAAGAACTTCTTCTCCGTGATCAAAGCTGTCTACGGTCCGCCGACGAAGGGCACTGCTCCTCTCCACAGCGCCGATGGCAGCACTCTCCTGACTGAGAAGACGCAAATTCTACAGCGATGGGCCGAGCACTTCCGAGGCGTCCTCAACCGCCCTTCCGTCATCTCCGACGCAGCCATCGCCCGCTTGCCGCAAGTGGAGACCAACGCGGACCTCGACCTCCCGCCATCTCTCCAGGAAACGATCAGGGCCGTGCAGCAGCTCTCCAGCGGGAAAGCACCCGGATCGGACGCCATCCCTGCTGAGGTCTACAAGCACGGAGGTCCCCTACTGATGGATCACCTGACTGCGCTCTTCCAGGAGATGTGGCGTCAAGGTGAAGTCCCGCAAGATTTCAAGGACGCAAATATCGTGCACCTATACAAGCGAAAAGGGAATCGCCAAGTCTGCGACAATCACCGCGGGATCTCCCTACTGAACATCGCCGGGAAGATCTTCGCTCGCATCCTGCTCAACCGCCTCAATAACCATCTGGAACAGGGCCTTCTGCCGGAAAGCCAATGCGGCTTCCGTCGTCATCGTGGGACCACGGATATGATCTTCGCCGCCCGCCAACTTCAGGAGAAGTGCCAGGAGATGCGAACCCACCTGTACTCTACGTTCGTGGACCTGACGAAAGCCTTCGACACGGTGAATCGTGAAGGACTGTGGAAGATCATGCAGAAATTCGGCTGTCCGGAGCGATTCACTCAGATGGTGCGTCAGCTGCACGACGGTATGATGGCACGAGTCACGGACAACGGCGCTGTCTCAGAGGCATTCTCAGTGACCAACGGAGTGAAGCAGGGATGCGTGCTGGCACCAACCCTCTTCAGTCTTATGTTCTCTGCCATGCTGATGGACGCCTACCGCGACGAACGCCCTGGAATCCGCATCGCCTACAGAACGGACGGTCATCTCCTGAATCGCCGACGCATGAACTTCCAATCGCGCGTATCCACAACTACCGTGCACGAACTCCTCTTCGCCGACGACTGCGCCCT